ACTTAACAAAATTTTGTGATACAATTAAACCGATATTAGGTTTATTTATCATTGATTGTCCGATTATTAAATCTATATCAGCCATATCGTAATTAGTTATTTCCACAAATCCACTCAAAATAATATTGTCAATGTGAACATTCACGTAGGACGTTCCTAGAGAGGTCGAATATGCGCCTCCAAAACCTCTCATTGTAACCACGGAAGGCTTAATCTTTAATTTTAACTTCTCAGCATATGCCACAGTGAGAATATTTAATTTGCTGCCCGTGTCTATGTATGCAATCAGATTACAACCATTAATTACCACTACCTTTTTGTACAAATCTACATATATGTTGTATGTTGTAAATAAGACATTACTCACTTTTGGGTGTGAAGAGCTGGCCGCATACCAGCAGCTGGCCGACGTGTGTCCCGGGCGATGGCACACCTCGCAGCGCGGCACTTTGCAGTCCTTTGCTTCATGACCTTCTCTTCGGCAGGCGTAACATTTCTTAGGTTTAAAGTCGGACCCTCTTGCAATTGGAGTAACGGCGCCGCCTCTTCTCCAGGTGGTAGCTGGTCGCGAATGGCTAGCTTCAACTTGTTTGTAGTTTTCCAGTGACGACAAATATCCGTAGTACAGTTGCTGTGGTGTATCGCACTGGAAAGCCTTTGCGTTAGCTCTTATTTCCATGGGTAGACCGCGAATTATACACGAAATTGTAGGCTCGCCAACGATATTACATTTTTTTAATAAGGAGACTTTGTCGTGGAAATATTTTGTCATACTTTCAGAATTCATTTTCTTTCTAGCGAGCATAGATTCAAGTAGATCTACATAGTCAGTAGAACGTGGGAACGCGGTCTCTAGAGCGTCCTTCCACCCCTTCCACGTGAAATCGTAGTCGTCCAGATCGTCATACCACTCTCTAGCTGACCCACGAAGACGTATCTGCATGATAAACTGGCGGTCTTTGTTGTTCCATCCATATACGTCGCCCAACTGGTCGATCTTGTGCAGCCATCCCTTGACGTTGCTAGATTTTTCATCCGGCCGGAACGTTGGAATAACCTCCGCATCGGTTTGGGTGACACGTCGCTTTTTGTATCGTCTGTGTTTCTCAGCGGTCTCTTCGTGATCGGACGAAGAAAAAAAATTCGATGATTCGTCGCTGTCGGGTGCAGCATTCTCGCAGCGTCTCCTTTTTTTCGTACCAAGTCCGTCAATATATGGGCCTGACATAATCCCACTTCTGAAGTGTTGAAGGATTATCAGGGTGGCGGCGATAATTGAGACACGAAGATAATAAGTTCTCTTTAATGCACGTTGCGACGGGTAGAGTACAAAAAGGGGTTGAAATATGCTAACCGCCGGTATTTATACAATCCGTCTTGACCTACTTTAAATACAAACTTAATAGGTAATATTAAATATTGTTTATCTTAATTATTCTGTTGATTATTTACGTACAATTATTACTTATTACTTAATAATATCAAATTATATAATTTTATAACATTAAAGGTTTATTACGCCGCGGCGCCGGAAGCTGTCAAGCGGAAGGCGCCATAAAATATAAGTATAAAGAAATATGAATCAACTATTTACTTGATTACAAAATTACTATTTATAAAACAAAAATAAGTTCTATATATTATCTAATCATTAGGATGTACCTGAACTAGTTTGTAAATAATGGCTCACATATTAAGTATGTGAGGCCGGAAGTGTTACTTGATAACAAAAATATAATTGTACAACTTAAATAACAAAAGGGCTTATTGCGCCGGTATAAATCAATTATTCACTTGATTATAAAATCACTAATTATATTATAAAACAATAATTAAATAATGGTTCACATATTATGTGAGGCCGGAAGTGTTACTCGATAACAGTAGTGTTATAAATGAACTGCTTGTAGGATACTGAGTTTCAAAGATATAGAGGTTTTTTTGCTTACTTTTTTTCCTACATAATCTGATAGCCTTGAGAGGCTATTTCAGCGTAACCTTAACTAGTAGGTAAGCTCACGGGGCTCAAACCTGAGAACGTTGGTAACACAAACCCTAGCAAGAGCCGTGCTTCGCAGAATCTACCACCGGATCGGAAACACTGAGAAAATCCGGCGAGAAACTCAGTAGGCTGTGTCTGTGGGTTAATTTACTAGTGACAGGTGCTTGAGGTACCTAAAAGCGCCGTTAGGGGATCGGGAGGATCCAAAATAACGTGTTTTGGGCGACATCGACTGCTTTCTATTTTGTCCGCAGGATCGGGAATGTAGTTACCGGCGGCCACGATGAGAGGGTTCTCATGTCGTGCCGCTTTATCAAAGTGGTTTTGCTTATGCTGATACGTGCGGTCATACACCCGAAACCCCACATGCGACGCACGCCACTACAGCTACACAACTAGAGTGTTAGGCTGATCTACACAGACTGAATTTCCCAAATTTTCAAGCATACGAGATGTCACCAATTATTTTGTGTAAACTAATTCCCGCCCGCGCGTAACCAAAATAGCCCCATAAGTTAACAGCAAGTACGGAACCTATAATAATTACGGAAAAAACTAACTTTAAGATTAAGGTTATACCCTAAATATGATCTGGGCTAAATAATATGTAAAAACGACTCCTACTACATGAAAGAATTTTTTCTTGCAGACGTATACGAATAGTGGCTGTTGATACGAAATGACGTGTGTGAACAGTCTTAGTTTTGATGCGAACCAAATGTTGTAAACAAAAGGATAATGTTTGCCCTGACTCGACCGCTTTGTAATCCGTAAACGGTATGATTATAAATTTACGAGGGCGATCATACAAGATTTTCGTTCACACATTATGATGTTATTATTAAACCAAAACCGCTGAACAAAAAAACAATGAGTCTGTTTGTTATTAGTAGAAGTTAGAGGTCAAAAATGAGTTTAGAACGCGATAAATAGGCACAACTAGTGTTAACTACGTGATGAGTGGCATATTTACTTACTGTTTTTGTTTTCTTGACCGTTATCTCTCTTCAGTACCTACAACTCTGCGAGTGCCAAATGGCGAGGGCATCAACGAATAGCGCATGCCAATAATAAATTACTTTGAATTTCGTATAATTATTGCTTTTCTGTAAAAGCTTTACATTAAATTAGTACACATATTTACGTGTAGAGAGAGAGAGAGAGAGAGAGAGAGAGCTCTTCTCTCTGCCATCTAGCCGCTTTGAACTTAGGAGAGAGAGAGAGAGAGAGAGAGAGAGAGCTTGTAGAGAACGACCGGTTTCGATCCAGCTGGTTGGTCTGTGGGGGTATCCAGATATACCAGCATCACCTGGTCTGATAAGCCACCGTGACCGGCGTTTCGAATTGAATCATTTTTAGCGACGAAAGCATTTCTTCCTGAGGTGGTCATGCGTCAGATTGACCGCAGTCTCGCCTTCTACATTTTTATTTTTTGTGTGGCTTAAATAGTTTGACGAGTTTTCAGCCCACCTGGTGTTACATACTTACCAAAGCTCATTGACATCAAAAACGTAAATACCGTAAAAACGTAATAACGTGCCGCTACCCACCTTGAGACATGAGTCATATATACGACTATATGGCTGCCCCATCCTTCATACCGACATGCATTAGAGCTTCACGGCAAAATACGCAAGGTGGTAAATAGTTTTTTTTTTTTAGCCATAGACATCTACAACGTACCTAAATGCGCCACCCACCTTGAGATATAAGCTCTTAGGTCTCACGTATAGTTACAACGGCTGCCCCGCCCTTCAAACCGAAACGCATTACTGCTTCACGGCAGAAATAGGCAGGGCGGTGGTACCCACCCGCACAGACTCACAAGAGGTCCTACCACCAGTAATTACGCAAATTATAATTTTGCGGATTTCATTTTTATTACACGATGTTATTCCTTCACCGTGAAATCAATCGTGAACATTTGTTGAGTACATATTTCATTAGAAAAATTGGTACCCGCCTTTGTTTCGAAAACCGGTGCATCGCTCAACACGAATGCACCGGACGTCTTCTCCGTTAGGCCACGACGACCAAACGTATCACCCACGTACCCTGCATGGGGACCTAAACCTAAGCAAATAGACTCTTTTAATTAACTTTCTCGTTCATTCCAGGCAAAACATTTTATTTATAGCCGCAGCGTCGACGCGCCGATTGCTGATTTCCGAACCTTCTACGAGGTTTCCAATGTTTTTTTTTTCGATGTAAGTGTTGTGTTCATCGAGTATAAAGTATTCAATGTGAAATATGAAAAGTACATTTGAATTGATGGAAACGATTTTGGCTAACCTATTTTAAATTGTTGACCTATTTGAAATGAGAATATTTTTGCGCATTTCCTAAGCTAAACGCAACTGAATATCTACAAAGTATCTTTAATAAACTATGATACATAGTAGTTTTAACTAATTAGACTTAACTAAAAAGCTAAAATTCGTTTTAACTAAAAACAGACTAATTCAGCATTAATAAGGAGTTTTTGGCGGAAACGTGAGGAATGAGGTTGTGAGATTTGTTTTATTTTGTCTATTTAGTGTTTCTTCAGGTTTAAATGTGTATATTATAACGGTGGTTTATTAACTGTTTAATATCTGTGACAGTGCACAAATGTAGGAAAATGAAACAAAGCCGCTGGACTTAACTTCTCGGGATCGTCTCAAAAAGTCAGAAAAAATCTCAGTAAATGACCACCATTTTACTGAGATTATATTTCATCCCAGTTGATTGGTGTCTCAAATTGATAATCTTCATTTCATTTCACTTCATATTATCATTTTCCATAAAAATGAAATCATCCATTTCATTTCGTTTCATGCCATGTTTCATATATTAATCAATGTCATTTCATTTCATAGTATCATATTTCATAAAATAATATAAATATATATAAAAGATTAGGCTGTATGGTATGATACTTTTGCCTTTCCATTTGGAAAAATAAAACTACTATACTACTCGACAATACCATAGATTATACACTTAATATATATACTCGACATTAAATTTTTTCAAATCAAAATAATTTGCTGTAAATGTGACTGCCAACTGCAATTGTGCACATTAACAAATCAGTAATGAGTCTCATCAGGAGATTAACACCAATATTGAATTGTCGATACTTAAGAAGAGAAGTATGTAATCGAAGCATACACACTGTAATATTAAAAGAAGCAAACATTAACTCAACTTCGACATTGTTAAACCTTCAGCCTGTTCAGCCTGTATTCAGTATTGAAAGAGGAAAATCTAAAAAGGTATGTATTTATCCCAGCGTTACAAATTATTCTGTCTAAAATTTTTAAAACATTATTCAATTCGTAGTGTTGTGCTGCTGCTGATTGTAATTAACTGTAATACCCTTAGATACAACATTTTGATGAATAAAATGAAGAATTACATTCATAGGTACCTATTTTAGGCAAAGTATGATTCTGACGATGAAGATGAAGCATTTGGAGAGGATGACTCGTCATTGTCAAAGGATTCAAAAGTTGTTAAATTCAGCACCACATCCATGAGGACTGATGTAATAATAAAATCAGCACTTGGATATGCAAGAAAGTAAGTGCATATGTTTATAAATATGATGTTTCAGTTTGTTCAGTCATGTTCTCTTAACACTCACTTAATATGTTACTTTAAATTTAAAATGTATGCATAAGAATGAGCTTCGATTACTTAAAGGAACACTAATGTATATTCTTACTAAGTAAATGAACTGGTAATAAAGCAATCGGTAACTTCATATTAAAAATAAACAAAACCAACTTGCAGATGTCCTCTGTATTACTTCAGGTTTATAATCACATCACAAGATGATTATAACATAGCTAGCTAAGCTCTCGCCTGAAAAAAGTTACAGTTATAAATGTAAGTTTTTTATTGATTTATATGTTTACTATTCCAGCAGGGTAGAGGAAATATTTTATGAAAGTAAAATAAGATTAAATGGCAGGAAAATAATGAAAAAAAGTGCAGCTGTGAGTATTTCATCTGTTTATCAATTTTAACCTAACTCCAACACATTTTTGAACTATTCCAATATCACTGATGCAGTGGCTATTCATTTAATTAAAAATTCTGCTAAAGCATGAGAATATTCTTTTTATAATTGGTAAATTTTAATATGTGAATGGATATCATATTTTCTGATAAAGTTGTGTAAGACAAACATGAGCATAAAAAAAGGCTGAATTCTGCTTCACATTCATAAACACCGTTTAAAAACCTTTGCATTATGATGGGAACATGCAATACAAATGTTTGAGGTTTTAATTATTAAAAAAAAGCTATTTATTTATTTATGATACTAAATGATTATTTTGTCTTCTATTTAGAGTGTACTGTGAAATATATATTTTTAGATGAATTCTTCAAATAAATATTAACTAAAAAATGGTGCATGGATTAAGTTTGTTTGATTTGAAAATTCTAAATTTGTAATTATGGCCACAAAGTATAATGAACAAGGCACTCATTATTTGCCTTTACCCAAGGGTTTTCTTTTTTAAAATATATTGTAGTTAGTTTTACTTCATTAGTATGTAATAAAAATAAATTAAAACATTTTTAAATAAATTTGTTTTTCTTTTAGGTAAAACTTGGTGATGAAGTTGATGTTGTTAAAATGATCAGCCCTAAGAATCCAGAACATTTATATGTATCCAGAATAGAAATATTAAACATTGTCCCCAAAGAAGATAGTATTTCTATAACTGCTAGAAGATTCAAAAATCTGCTTATAGAAAATTATGAAATTGATCCATATAAATCTAGTTCTACTGAAGAAGAAACATAGGAAATTAGATTTGTAGCGGAAGGAAATAGTTAATTTTGTAAATAGCAAAAGTAATCACAATGTAAAATATAATAAAATAAAACTTTAATAGGCATAATAACTTTTTAAAGCTAACATGATTTTTTTTTTCATAAATCTAAGTCAATATCGCAATCTGAACTTTCAAAAATTGATATTTGGGAACTTCGTTCCGACTTATCTTGAACTGCATTTGTGCTTTTATTCTCAATATTAAATTTAAAACTGTTGTTGTATTCAGATATCGATAATTTTTCTTCATATTTATCAATGTTATATTTTTGTTCACACGCGAACTGTTTCAATTTATTTATTGTTGAGAGATTTGCATTTTGTTCTTGATAATCATTAGTTTTATTTTCTACAAGATCCTTTTTTTCAATTCTAGGAACAATGATTTGATTATCAATCTTATTTTCTTTTAATTCGATTCTTTTATCACTTGATTTATGTTGACTTTCATCTTCAAACTTAAGATTGATACCGTACTCTGCAAACACATCATTAACACTAGGCACAGCATTTAAGAGATGATTCTGGTCAACGTCAATGTTTTTAGGACTACTGACATCCCTTACTTCCTCCTTTGATTTCTTACGCTTTTTAGGAACTAAACTTTTAAGACTTTTTGAATTCACAGTAACTTCTTTCCGTTTTCTTTTATTTTGAGGTTTTTTCTGAGCTACTGGTGGTTTTCTTTCGTCTCTATTTAAAGTTGCGTGTTTTTTTAATGTCACTGCCAACATTTTATTTACTTCTATGATATCTTTGTTATCTTCATCGGGTAAATTGTTTTTGTCATTATGTAACAATTCATCTTCTTTCTTAAAATAAGAACTTGTTATTACCGATGCTGACAAAGGTGTATTTTCATCGGCGACATCATCATATTTTGCGAAAAGCTTACTGATTCCGCTATCAATATCATGTTCCAATGTTTTGTGATCGACCTGAAGTAATTTACCGTAGTGTAATAATTCATTTCGCCATATTTCGTACAAATTTAATTTTGTTAATAGTTTTTTTGCTGTGCATAGGTATTCAAAGTCAGGGTATTTATAGAAATTGGAATGTAGCGCATCCGCAGTGTCTGATAAAGTGCAGTCTTGCATTGATAAATCTACTAAAGATACGGCTATAATGGCGTCCATCGGATATATTGTTGTTCTATACATTAAACGGCAGTGAGCTTGTGATAGTCTGAAAGAAAAATATATTGAAGGGAAAGTCAATGTACAGTACATATATAAATAAATGTAGATAAAACATTACATCAAAACTTGTAATTCAAAGAAATTTTCTGAATTAACTACTTAGCAACAATAAGTTCTTTTGAACACATCGCCATAACTAATGTCTTGTGAGCTAGTCTATTGCCGTATGATATTGGGATAAGAACAAACGTCCTAATCAGAAGCCATTCCTTTATCACAATTTCATTGATGATGCGTCATTACGGATCCTCCCGATCCATTAACGGTGCTTTTAGGTACCACAAGCACCGGTCACCGTCCTTGTCGAAAACGTCGCTTGCGACGAAGGGCTCGACGAGCAAATTAACCCATAAATACAGCCCACTGAATTTCTCGCCGGATCTTCTCAGTGGGTCGCGTTTCCAATCCGGTGGTAGATTCTGCGAAGCGCTGCTCTTATTAGGGCCAATGTTAGCAACACTCCGGTTTGAGCTCCGTGAGCTCACCTACATTGTTAGAGCGAAGCTGAAATAGCCTCTCAAGGCTATCAGCATAGGTAGGAGGAAAAAAATGGATGATGAAGTAATTTATAATCTGTTATCTTGTAATAGCTAGGCGCCGCGCATCTTGGGGAAGGGTCGTAGCCCCTATTGTATTACATATCACTTACAACAGGAAAGCATAATTCGCGGCAGAATTAGACAAGACTGTGGTACCTGATAGTCTGAGAGGCCTCAATGCACCCTCTACTATGAGTAAAGGTAAATTAACGATCATAGTATACTGCTATAATACTATACGCTCGTGCTCTATCTTTGGTGAATTCCTTAATCGCTTGTTATGACGTCCGCGAGATGAGTGATGCTATTCAAAATAATACTAAACAGTCAGAACATGGGTTTGATACCACAAGCTATAACGACTTTAACAGAATTGACAATACGTCGCAGTTTCGCGTGAGGAGAAAAATAATCTTACCGGTATGAAGATATATCGTATCACGATGACTAATCTAAAGATATATCCTAAAAGATTTCTTACCTAACCAGACTGTCCAGCATTCTCACGGTAGTACGTGATGGATCTCTGCTTTCGGCTTTTCTCTGGGCCATATAATACGATTGCAGGATAATGTTTGCCGATTTCGTCATCTTTGTCGTTCTTGGTCCCACTAGACTAATGTACATCTAGAACATAAATAGATCGATACCCTTAATTATATTTCTTAGTTTTAATCGTACAAGTTTACAATCGTATGCATTTAATTATCGTTTATATTAATATAGATATTTTTACACTAGACGTGGATGTAGAAAAAATTAAACAAGTATGTTTCCGGGTTAAAAAGTTGCTTGTATCAATTTCTTTTCCATAATCCCAGTCGAATTGCAAATCTAATGGTATGTAAAATTATTAACCAGCAAACACATATGTATTATTATCACATTATTATGTGTTAATCCACAAAAATATTCTTTTTTTACTTATGGTAGGACCTCGTGTGAGTCCGCACGGGTAGGTACCACCACCCTGCCTATTTCTGCCGTGAAGAAGTAATGTGTTTTGGTTTGAAGGGTGGGGCAGCCGTTTAACTATACTGAGACTATACTATACTATACTTTTCAGAGATTGAGTAGCCAACATCCATACAAACAAGCTTTCACATTGACAATACAATGTAAATTATTTACCTGCAATTTTTCGAGAGTCCAATATTTTTTATTTTGTTCTAAATTTGAATCACCGAACAATATATAAGAAGATACAAGTTTATCCCAAGCTTTATTTTTTGTATCCAATAGAATGAAAATTAGATCAAATCTGAAAGAAGTATTCAATTCATTTATAGTGGTCTATTATTTCCATCGCAGTAGATTTCTTAATTAAATATTCTAAATAGTTTGATATTGTAATAATAACATGTTTAGTATTTTTTCTTTAAATCTATTCTAGTGATCTCAAGGGTTCATGCTAGATTCACAAAACGAGTAGGTGCTTAGCAGAATCTACCACCGGATCGGAAACGCGACCCACTGAGAAGATCCGGCGAGAAACTTAGTGGGCTGTGTCTATGGGTTAATATACTCGTCGAGCCCTTAGTCACAAGCGACTGGTTCGACGAGAACGGTGGCCGGTGTTGGAGGAACCTAAAAGCAACGTTAGTGGATAGGGAGGATCCGAAATGACGTTTTTAGGGCGACGTCGATTGTAGTAGTTAGTATAATAAATCTTTATACTAGTGACAACTGTTCACGCTCCCCTGTGACTCTCTAGTTGTATGAAAAACATAAATTTATTAAAAATACTGACTAGTGCGTCATCTACCGTAAATTGAAGGAACTATAACAATAGCCTTCCCTACGTATTATTGAGTAGTCAAAACCTTATATAAATTATCCATAAATTACATATACGTTACAGATAAATTACAAAATGCGACGGTAACGTCTAAGGTGTCCTTCTAAAGTCGCACTCCTGTAAGGGTCGTAACCAACTTTCACAGATCGCTCTCTTCTATTGCTTATATATAATATATTAGGTCGGGGAAAAAGTCTTTTCGCATTATAGTATGTATGAACTTGTAATAAAATCTCTTTGGCTATACTATTTGTATCTGAACTCTACTGCGAACAACTGATGAGATTAAAGCAAGAAAGCAAGAAAGTAGGAGAGAAAACGGCCCAAATTAATCAACAGATTAAGGGGTGTGGTTTTTCTAGACCTTACACATCTTTAGCCACTCAGCAAAAAATAAGAAAGCTTGGCTGGGAGGTGTTAATGCATCCGCCGTATAGTCCTGACATAGAAATGGGGTAATGTCCCTACCTACAAGATGGCAAAAAGTTATCGAACAAAATGGTACCTACATACTTTAGTTAAATGTAAATAAACTATATTAAAAACAGTTGTGAATTTTCTTAAAAAACGCGAAGACAGTTTTTCCCCAACCTATTATAACGTGCATATCTAATATGTCTAGTGTTGAGTATGAACGATATTCTTACCGGCTCAAAAGTGGCGTTCCAAGTGCTAAATTCATACTGAGCGGTTGATTTGAATCGTAGTTCCCCTTAGGATTGCAGGCTGCTATCACAGCACAACGTGTGTTCAATTTGCAGACTATACCTGCCTGAAATTCATATTTGGATCTTCAAGGAACCGAAAACGTTGGGACAATCAAGCAACTTATTGTTTTATTTTTAAATTGAAGACATCTAAGGCCAGCGAGAATCCGGCGCACCTACAGAGTCGGTTTTCGTCACTCGTGGTCTTTTACAGGCTCATTTGAAATCAATACACACAATCAAACAGTAGTATTGTTGTAGTAGTACCCTCCTCTCCCTTAAAAAAATATATTCTTTCTTCCTAAAACGACATCTCCTATCTCTCTCACTCAGTCACGCTCCCTATCTGTCATTCATCCATACCGCTCTGTTCCTTTCCTACATAAATATACAGCGTGTCCCGAAAATCAAAATTAAGCGGCTACGGGGCAATGGGCTAAGCATTATTTCTGTCCGGAGGTCAAGTCCTACCTTGGCTATGGAGATTGTCTGTTGCTCCATCGCCTCGTGTATGACGGTGCGGTCGTGCTCCTTCAGCTGGGAGATCTCATCTATACAGCAGACGCCGCCGTCCGACAGAACCAGTGCTCCAGCTTCTAGCTGCCACTCACCGTCTTCCTGAGATATCAGTCTTTCAACAAAAACCCGAAAAAAATATTCGAAGAACTATACTCAAATTGGTAGAGTTCTTTTATTAGTATATCTAATAATACACATTTATTATATTTTAATAACCAAACTTTTCAATAGACCACATTTCGAGTTCAAGCGAATAATTAGACCTCACTGTTCAAGTCTAAAAACGAGAAGAGATAGAAGTTTTTTAACCGACTTCAAAAAAGGAGGAGGTTCTCAATTCGACTGTATGTTTTTTTTATGTTTGTTACTTCATAACTTTTGACTGGGTGAATCGATTTTGATGGTTCTTTTTTTATCAGAAAGCTGACGCTTCCCGTGTGGTCCCATTTCAATTTAGTCCAGTTCTGATAATCGTATCCATGAGAAAACCATATAAGTCTTAAATTTGCATTAAGTACGTGCGCGACAAATAGATGAATAACTCAATAAATCAATATCACGCCAACCGATTTTGATGATTATTGTTTTTTAGTGTATATTAATTTGTTTTTGATAAAAAAAATTCTATTTGAAGTCGGTTTTTGTTAAAGCATGTCTATTTACAATTATTTAATGCTTTACAGCAGCGTTCAATCCGTCTAAAAGAAGACGGCCACCACCGCCCATAGCGACCGGCGATGCTACAGACCACCGCTGCGCCGCTAACCACAAAATTCAAGTGCCGCTTTAGTTTTTCGGCTTTTCTTTAATGATAGCACTGTTATAGTATATTTTATACCCTGAGCGCAGCACACGTGAGGCCGGCTCGCGTACTGCCAGCTCCCGAAGTGAACACCGAACGCGAAGTCAGATCTGCTCCTGAACGAAGCAGTTGCGACTTCCCAGTGCCTGAAAAATAAAACATGATCTGTTAAAGTACTTTAAGTAGCCATTTTTATTTATTGCTTATATGCTTGGACGAGCTCACAACCCCCTGGTGTTAAGTGGTTATTGGAGCCCATAGATATCTACAACGTAAATGCGCCACCCACCTTGAGATATAAGTTCTAAGATCTCAGTATTGTTACAACGGCTGCCCCAGCCTTCAAACCGAAACGCATTACTGCTTCACGGCAGAAATAGGCAGGGTGGTGTTACCTACCCGTGCGGACTCACAAGAGGTCCTACCACCAGTAAATCCTGCCACATGTTGATGACGGAGAAATTATTGAGGCCGGCCGTAAAGTAAGAAATCGAATAAACAGTAATTTGCTTGTCTTTCGAGATTTGAGGGGATTTGTTTGGTAAGATCCCTAAATCTCATTTTTATCACAACTGGATCAGAGTTCATCCACTCTACCTATAACCGTTTAACCCTATAACGTTTCCAGAGATCTTTTTTACCACATACCACCCGGCTTTGGAATGAACCCTCCTTTGTGGTGTTTCGTGAATTATGTCATGTCCTGCTTCAAACGATTCTTGCGGAGAGCACTCAGTGGTAAACAGTGGCTTGGCTCAGCCCGTCGCGTTGCTGTTGTTTATGAGCGACGATAAGCATTCACTATCAGATGGACCGTATGATGATCTGCCTACAATGGTAATTTTAAAAATATACAAGGAACTGAACGTAGCATTTTTTATATTACATATTACGTAATTCTGGCTCTCCTAAAAATTAAACTCATACCTGGATCTCCAACTAACAGGAGATGACATTGACCCCGCACTTTTGTATGATGATTATCGTCAAAGGATGTATTCTTTTCATCTGTTTCCTCGACTATGTGATTCGATCCGGTAATCACCGTGAGCAACACAGCCAATTTTACCAGATGTAGACCGTAGACCTGTGATAAATTTCAATTATGTGTTGTAATAATATCAACAGTAAAGTTATTAATTTTCTTTAATATACAGACATAATATGACATACCTAATCTTATAATATGTATTGTTTAAAAGTTATTTTACCCAGTATAAAAGTGATGTGTAGTTATGTGTTATGTGTTTACGTTTTCAATTGATTGGACTGGTTTAAAAAAAATGTATGACGTTGTAAGTTAAATGTATGAAGTTTACAAGTGTGATCAAAACCAATTTAACTTGGAAACATACTTACTTGAGGACAAATCGATCTAAGTATATGATCTCTGCCTTTCAAAGGACACGAATCATAGTAAGACCAGAAACTGTCAAAGCATTCTTTTATGTCAGGAGCTGTGGCTACCACTTTAGATCTTAGCGCATTACACACTTCTATGTAATTTGCTTGGAGGACTAGTTCCACTTCAGATTTTTTTGTTTGAAATGATGGTCGCCAGCGTCTTCGAATAGTACCACTAAAAAAAGTTAATACATTTAAAAAAAAATACCAAATCTCAAAAGTGTCCTTTCCACATTTTTGAAACAACAGCCTGGACTTGTTCCTTCGCTTAGTGGATACAGACAATTTTCCATCACTATATCACACTATATTTTCTAGTGTTCATGGGTCATTTCAATGAACACTAGTAAATATAATGAAAATATGTTAGTAAATCAGATTAAAATAATTATAAATAGAACTTTACAATAAAGTATGCTTCAGAACATGCATTAAATTGCTCTACTCCAATAATTTATTCACAAAGGATTTGTCTACTAATTATGGCAATATGTACTTAAAGTTTCTTAAAGAATCACTTCTAACTCAATGCATGCCTCGCAGACGGTTGCACAATAATGTCTATATTCAGATGAGGTTTAACCGCCTTGAGCTCAACAATGCTCTACACATTGTTCATGAGCATCGGTAACCATCACGTAGGATGCAGTTATGAAAAAAAACAAAAAAATATGTACAGATAGTTACCAAATTATAACATCATCACCAGGTTTGCAACAATCTACTAAATCATCTTCTAAAACCACCCAGAATGAGCCTGGAATGGTACCAATGCTAAGCTTGTTAACTTGCTCCTGAAATCACATCACATCACAATCACATAGTATGTACATATGCATACCTGATGGTGTATTCATGGTGTAATAAAAGAGACCTGCAATTAGTAAGTTTACAATTGTATAATCAGTGATTATTTTAAAGTGGATGGCAACATCCAAATTGGGACTATGTGACCTTCTTCCAACAAATTCAAAAAGAAATTACAGTATCTTCCCTAGTTTAAATCCCTTTGCCTTAAAACCTGAAACTGTTGACTGAACATTTCTTGGGTATAATTTTACCTACGTATTCTAAAAAGTTACGTCACAAAACGTCGTCCACGTCGTGGCCTAAAGGATAAGACGTCCGGTGCATTCGTATATAGCGATGCAACGGTGTTCGAATCCCGCAGGCGGGTACCAATTTTTCTAATAAAATACGTACTTAGCAATTGTTCACGATTTACTTCCACGGTGAAGGAATAACATAGTGTAATAAAAATCAAACCCGCAAAATTATAATTTGCGTAATTACTGGTGGTCCTCTTGTGAGTCCGCACGGGTGGGTACCACCGCCTCGCCTATTTCTGCCGTGAAGCAGTAATGTGTTTCGGTTTGAAGGATGGGGCTATACTGAGACCTTAGAACTTATATCTCAAGGTGTGTGGCGCATTTACGTAGTAGATGTCTATGGGTTCCAGTAACCACTTAGCACCGGATGGGCTGTGAGCTCGTCCACACATATAGGCAATAAAAAATAAAAAAAAGTATTAACTTTTTACAAATATTAATTTGTACTCCACCTGAATTTTTATTTCCTGATAATCTTTACAGTATTCTCTGGATACAAGATTCACTTGTGAGAATATTGTACTTCTGCATTTTGGATCAATATTACAACATTTTGATGGTGATTTAAGAATGTATCTCCTTTCGAATTCTGCTTGAACATAATTCTCATATTTGCATTTCATACAGACATACTTTCTTTGATATTCCAACATTTTGGACTGGGTCACTCGGACAACTGTACCTAAATGTATTTCAGGAAAAAAATGTGGATTATTTTTGTTGGCAATTATTAGTTTGGTGCTTTTTTAAATATCAGATCTTTGGTAATTCATGCAACATAGTTTCCTCTGGAAGGATTCAATGTTCAGCAGAGAGACTGGTAGGAAACTATTTCGGAAAATGAATTACCATAATCCTCACCTGTTACTTTTAAAAAACATCCCAGATCTACATTTTTGGGGAAAACAGTTCTGTGTAACTCCGGACAAACAGGTAAACCATAAAATCTGGCATGAACATTCTTCTTTACGAAAACATATTCTAATTTCGAAACTGTATTTTTAAATTCCTCAGATTCTTTAATGTGTTGTTGGGCCTTCACTATATCTTTATCGCATATGGGCAGGGTTTCAATGGGAGCGCACAGAACTCTGTCTCCCACATCAGGATGATTTTCAAATAATTTTAAAAAACTGCAAGTGTTCAAATTTATTTAGCTTGATCCCAAAAAATGTACTTTAAGATTCCTGTAGATAAATACTTACTCGATTTTAATGCTAAAATATCCTAGATTATCTTTTTCTGATAATACATTAAAACAATCATCCAAATGAAACTTTAATATATATTCTAAAATCATTGTGTATTCTGCCAGCTTTCCATTGATCTATTTTAATTCATGTTGAGCAGTTGATGTAGGTAGGTACTATGCAGTTTTCATTTGAAATTAATATGTAGTACATAATCCAATCTAAATTCCCTCTACCTATCTTTAAGTAGGCTAGACTTTCCTTTATGGTCTATCGATTTGGAAGTTCACAATTATTATTTTTATAGTACTCATAAAGAGAAAGCTTTTTGCAAAATTTCTATTTGCAGAAACTCACGGTTTAACAGACATCATTTTTCAAAGTTTTCATATAAATTGGAAAATCGTATAAGTTGACGTTTCACGTTCCATTCCTGGTGGACATGTATTTTATTATTTATATTATACCTATTTTACCTAAATATTTTTTATTATTATAATATATTCACATATTACATTTGGTTTAATTAGTGTGCTCAGTAATTGTTGCTGTAGTTGCAATTATATTAACTTTTTTACTACACATAAAATCACGAATTTTTGTTTACATTGTGGAACGGAACGTGAATTGAGGCAACTTTATAGCGTCTTTTTATGTCTGTATTATTCTGTATGTAATAGGTACCTAAAATATCCTTATAAATTAGATTAAATTTAACAATAATAAAATTGCATGGTTAACTGAAAAATATAAAAAACAAATCAGAGCACACTTTCCACATGGTCTTGTCTGCCCTAACCTATCCCTAGGGTAGGTATATAAAAAGGAAAGTTTAGCAGAGATTTTACTTTTTGATAAACGACACGACACGAGAACCCTCTCATCGTGGCCACCGGCGCCGGCGATCCTGCGAACTAAATGGTAAGCAGTCGACGTCGCCCAAACACGTCACTTCGGATCCTCCCGATCCACTAACGGCGCTTTTAGGTACCTCAAGCACCGGTCATTGTTCTAGTCGAACCCGTTGTTTGCGATGAAGGGCTCGGTGAGTAAATTAACCCGCAGACACAGCCCACTAAGTTTCTCGCCGGATCTTCTCAATGGGTCGCGTTTCCGATCCGGTGATAGATTCTGCGAAGCACGGCTCTTGCTAGGGTTCGTGTTAGCAACATCATCAGGTTTAAGTCCCGTGAGCTCACCTATTACTAGTTAAGGTTAAGCCGAAGTGGTCTCTCAAGGCCATCAGCGTAGGTTAAAAAAGACAGAGATTTTAATCGAAAACCATGAAATTATATGAAAATAGTTGAAGTGGGATGAAATATAAGTAGTATTAGGTAGTCTCAGTAAAGAGGTGGTTATTTCTACATTTGTGTACTTTCACAGATACTAAATACTTAATAAATCACTGTTATTTTACATTTAAACATAAAGGTAGTTTTCCAATTACAGCACTAGAGCGCATTATGCGGCATAATCCTCAACATTGAATGTTCCAACTACAGCAACGCTTCATATAATCGAGCACTCTGAAAAGTAGGTACTGCTCTCGCGTGATACTCGCAATCGATACCAACTCAGTGACAGACCTCAGTAAACCTTTATTCTTGAAAAAAATTGTAAGGCTTTCGTTTTGTCGTAGTTTTTTGGAAATAATCAAAGTTAATTCAAACTGTGCTAAAAGAATAAATATAAGTATGGATGAAGGTACAAATAATTACTTTTTTTAATATTCCACATTTTAAATGTGAATACCCACAATTTCATTTTAGAATTCGAATCTGTAAACAAATTTATTTTACAGGAATATACTTTTGTAAACATTGCAATGGCTTGATCGAATCACCATCATGAACTTAGCGCACTCTGCTGATGCATTTGAAAACTAATTCACGTTCCAATTAAGCTTCAGCATAATTCGGCATTGTGCGTCACTGAGTCGCATTATGCTCTGTAATTGGAAAACTACCATAGATATAGTAATCGGCAAACTTCTTGAGCAAATGACCTTGACTGCGCAGAACCGAATTTTAGATCACTTTGGTGGTGAGGGTGAGGTGCAACGGCAGGGGAAATCGTATCGAGCGCTTTATTGGTAGATCAGTCGAACCTTGCGTCCCGCACCGCGCCCTCATTCCGCTTGCTCCCAAAAGTACGCTTGCGTACAGTGGAAAGTCTATCGTTATTAATCGTTAAGTTATTTGTTATAATTGCTTGTGGACTTTGTTGCCATTGCTATTTGTTGAGTGTTTGTTGATTTTTTATAAAACATACACTATGCCGTGACAAACTGGTGTAGTACTTAAAAGAAAGGGTAGAAAATTTGTGTACGACGTATATTGCTTCATTATAAAACAGGGGAAGAATGATATGGAAAAATTAAAACAGACTTCGGAAGCAACAAAAACATCAGTGAGTACTGTTAGGTGCATTATTAACGAAGCTAAAGGCTCTGGCTTGCTCGCCGTGTTTCGGACTCCGGGTAAGAAAAGATCAGGGAAGAAGAAAGTTACCGGAATGGATAGTTTCGTTCAATCTGTAATAAAAAGTTGTAATCATAATAACTACATAACAAGCAGCGAAACTCCGTACCGTAGAAAGGCTTCGAAAAATTTAAAGAAGATATAAATTTTAATGGCTCGGAATGAAGCTTACGACGAATTATGAAAGAGCTAGGCTTCAGATGGAAAAAAAGAACAGAAAATAATCGGAAGCTGGTAAATGAAAAAAGTAATATTCGATTACTACGAATCGAATATCTTCAAAAAATAATTAATTAAGTATAGACAAAAAAGAAGACCGAATCGACCGAGTTGTAAACTACGCCGATGAGCCCTATATCGACTCATCACGATGATAGCGACTCGGGTGATGAAAACAGTGATGATGATGATGGTCAAGATTATGATAACGAAAAAAAAATTACAAATACCAGCTTCGCTTCAACTGAATCAAAACCTGGCAACAGCTCTAGTTTTGACTTAATAGAAGGAATATCTATTTTACCCCAAGATTAAATTATTAAAATTATTAACCTATATGTTTTGTTGATGTTCTAATAAATATATAAATAAATACATATGTTGATTTTAATAATTTAATAGCATTATGACGCAGAGTATATAATGTTTTTGCACGTGAGTGTACCATGCGCAAACTTACCCCCACTACGTCAACAAATGCTCAAGAAGTTTGCCGGTATTATACACGAAATGGACAAAATTTAACAGTTTACGCAACTCGCTTCTCGGGTTCCGCCACGTTTAATGAAGGCAATGCATGAAATTGAATGCATTCAATGCATTCCATTCAAGAGAACTTGCAAGCTCATTTCAAAGTGGTAATGTGTGATAAAGTGTGGTAAATAAAATAATTTATAATTTAAAAATAGTTTAATTTATTATCTGATAGTAGTATACTCCACACATCTAGATGGATCTGTAGGGAAATACTCCTGACATTTAGTCATAAGACGTTTTAGCGCTTGAATGTATTTTCTTTGAGTTTCGTCGTTCATAACGTGTGCTACGTTCTTAGAGAAGATTTTCTCCCGTCCTGTACGAGCGTGAATACCCACCATGGTTACACCGATCGGCCATGGCGCATTACCAATCGCCATTTGAAGATATGCGTCACTGGCCTGAAAACAAAAAACACGTGTGGCACTCGGAGACTGCCGCGGTAAAGCTATTGCATAGCATTTTTATCAACTTATGCAATTATAAATCGACAATAATAATTTAATATCAAAAGCAAAACATTAACTGTCCCCTTCACACTCATAACCTAGACCGCGCGCGGGAGAGATGGGCAGACTTTTCATGATGTGCATGCGGCAGTGCAACGTCACGCCGCGCGCTTATTCACAAACACTACACAAGCGCAACGTGTGAATGTGTTGAACGCGAGCTACATAGTAGGCATAGTGGGGGTGTCAGGTTTTTTTCGTTGCGGAATTTCTTGTTTCAGTCACCGCGCTCAAAGCCCGCGATAAAAGCTATGCAATAGCTTAAAAATATGACTTATTTTAACCTATAAATTTAATTATAATAGAATCCTTAGACATTGGATTTTAGCGGCAGAAATAGGTAGAACACACTCATAATCCCACCAATTACAGCTTTATGTTACTACTCAAAGGAATGTAATTAACTCTAACTATGCTATATCTAGTTTATATTGTTAGATGAAATGAAGATATGGGATCTAAATGTGAATTATATTAAAACATCAAAAACCTTATAGCCCGAGAGCCCGTGGGATCTACCTGTATGTATTTGACCAGACCTGAATTTTCGTACATTGAGACCCCTATACCTACCATGCATGAGGTGGGTACTCACTAAGCTCAAAGTGGTCGACGCGCCGAGCTCTCAGGTAGGACAGGTACCGATTTTGACGGATTTTAAATCCATTTGACCACGTCTGCCGTTTTGAAATTTTGAAAATATATGATTATTATTATCGGAAAATAAGAATGGCAGACCATTATCGCGCATTTTACTTTGTGGCAGACCACTTTGAAAATGCTAAATTGCATTGAAAATGCAAAATTTTGAAAGTAATTGACTAGATCTGCCATTGATTTAATAATATGTTGTTTATTATAGTCTTAAAAACTTATATTGATCACGGCAGACCTCTACATTGCGTACATACATCAACATATAATAAAATCTTAGCTACTACCCGGCCAGATGTATATTATGTTTTCCGTTCACTGTTTTAGAGGAATATAATTTACTTGCGATTTACTTTAGCAATGTATTTACCGAAATTAATATTTTTTTATATTCTATATACTAAACTTCATTAGTTAGACAATAAAGAAGTGAATTTTTTATGGAATAATTATAAATAATACGGTATAATGCTGATCAAAAAATAATTCAATTCCTCATTTTTATCATTCAACATTTAACTTGCCAGCTATACAATGCCAAAAAATCTAGTGATGTAGATGATGGAAGGTTCCAGCTATTCGTTAGCAACTATAAATATTCAGACATCAATGAAAATTATAGAAAAAAAAATCAAAAATTTGAGGCAAGCTCAATACCACCGCATAAGAGTGAGCTTTATCAACAACTTTTGAGGGCCCACTATATTTCTTCTATTTGGAGAAATGCTTACAAAAAGCAACTGACAACTTTAGACCCATTGGAGTATGGTTGGATTGAGCAGGACAACATATATGCCTTCAAAGGGTTCGAAGGTGACCAACTTCCATATTTTGTGAGTGACTTAATCACCAATGTTCCTGGTAAGTTGATAACAATTCTTTCTCGAACATGTTCAGATGAATTTACGTTCATTTTACAATTTATGTTTTATTTTTGCAGTATTCGATTCAATGGTTGATGAAGACGAGTCGCCTAACGATAAAGATGACTCCGATGATGATGATGATGAATGAAGATTGATATATATATATAATATGTAATGCATGCATGATATATTTTTTTAACTGATTTAACACTTTTAAATTTTGTCTTGACGAAATAAAAATGAGGAATTGAATTCTTTTTTGATCAGCATTGTACCGTATTATTTATAATTATTCCATAAAAAATTCACTTCTTAATTGTCTAACTAATGAAGTTTAGTATATATAATATAAAAAAATATTAATTTCGGTAAATACATTGCTAAAGTAAATCGCAAGTAAATTATATTCCTCTAAAACAGTGAACGGAAAACATAATATACATCTGGCCGGGTAGTAGCTAAGATTTTATTATATGTTGATGTATGTACGCAATGTAGAGGTCTGCCGTGATCAATATAAGTTTTTAAGACTATAATAAACAACATATTATTAAATCAATGGCAGATCTAGTCAATTACTTTCAAAATTTTGCATTTTCAATGCAATTTAGCATTTTCAAAGTGGTCTGCCACAAAGTAAAATGCGCGATAATGGTCTGCCATTCTTATTTTCCGATAATAATAATCATATATTTTCAAAATTTCAAAACGGCAGACGTGGTCAAATGGATTTAAAATCCGTCAAAATCGGTACCTGTCCTACCTGAGCGCTCGGCGCGTCGACCACTTTGAGCTTAGTGAGTCCCCACCTCATGCATGGTAGGTATAGGGGTCTCAATGTACGAAAATTCAGGTCTGGTCAAATACATACAGGTAGATCCCACGGGCTCTCGGGCTATTAGTTTAAATACAAGAACATGCATGCTTAGTAGCAAAAGAGCATGACATTAAAATTTGTCCTCATGGATGCTAGGATTCAAATCCCCCTAGGAGGGATCCTACGTATTTTCCTAATGCAATTCATCAAATGATTTCTACAATATATGAATAACATCATACAATTAAAATGAAAACTGAAAAAGTTATAATTATAGAGTAAAATTATAATTAGATCTCAATAGGAACCGGTAATCGCTTAACACCAGGTAGGCTGTAAGCTCATTCAGCCATCCCACGCACTCACATTTGACATGTCCTAGTACTGCAGTCATTAACTAACCATAATGTAGTTTCTATCCAACAGATGTTTTGTTATTTCTGTTAAACTGTCACAGATGTCTTCAGGCAAGTTTTTCTTTTTTAGTTTTCTCATTAGAGGCTTGAGATAAACCTGTGTTTGGGTGTATGTGGCTCTCGTCATTTTATGCTTGACTGCTGCTTTCTGTCCTGCTGCAGCAGAACTCAGTTGCTGACCCCACAACTTTAGCAAGAACTGAAATAAATAATATTAAATACATGCGTGCAAATCACACTTAATACAACTAAAATCATCAGAAATACACTTCTCACGTCTCATTCCCTCGCAAATCAAATCCAATAGTTGTATATGTTTGTCTTTAGATGTATACTCTTTGAGCAGTCCATTCCAAAATTGACTTAATTGTACCAACAAGCCAAACAAACATATACTCTACTATGTTATAATTTCAAAAGCTATATTCGAAAATCTAAATTCTTGCATATTCAACCTTTTTTATACCTAATATATCTAGAATGATAATGGGTACTTTTCTTACCTGCAATAATGTCATGATTACATTCATATCATGGTTTCTATCGCCTTGTCCCATTGTTTTTGCCATTTCTTGAATGGTTTCATATGTGATAAAATCATCCAGTGCATCTTCTTTGGACGAATTTTCACCTTCATTCTATTAAATTTATGATAAATAATTTAAGTCTTTGTACACTTGACATTGGCGAAATCTAAAAGGAAGCGCCATAAACCTAAGAGATAGATAAGTCTTTGTATTTTTCTAAATCCTATGGGGCAGATTTTCTTATATTTGAGTCGTCTATTATCAAAGGCGGCAATCTGTACATTTGGACAAAAATTTTTTATTGATATGTCAATACAGATTTATTTGAATATCATCGTCTCCTTCAAAGAATACGGTTCAAAACCTGCATTAAATAAAGGTTAATAGTTAACCTGTTATTTATCTAAGATGTCGTTCCGAAGAGTTTTGTGACTGCCAATGGAATACAAAGTCAATAATTCGTTTTTCTGATTTACCAATCATTGTCCAAAAGTCAGATTGCNAATATCATCGTCTCCTTCAAAGAATACGGTTCAAAACCTGCATTAAATAAAGGTTAATAGTTAACCTGTTATTTATCTAAGATGTCGTTCCGAAGAGTTTTGTGACTGCCAATGGAATACAAAGTCAATAATTCGTTTTTCTGATTTACCAATCATTGTCCAAAAGTCAGATTGCCGCCTTTGATAATAGACGACTCATTTATGATAAATAATTTTAGTCTGTATTTTTTTCACAATCTACCTGGTCACTGGTAGTATAGATGGAGAAGAGCTCATGGGAAACCTGATGTTAAGTGCTAACGGAGTTCATAGACAAAACATGATTGCCTCCACCCACCTTGAGACTTGATGTATTTGTCTCAATTGTATTGTAATTATAAATACTGATTAGGTAAAATTCGGGAAATTCGTATATGCCAGCAGGTTTTGAATATTGACATAGTTACATAATTTAATTTTTTTAATACACCAGGAGTCTTATCATCTATACCATAATGATTTTGTTAAAAATAAAATGGGGTTTTCATTTTGTTATTCTGTGTATGGCAGTCCAAGCTTGTAAAAAATAATTAGTGTAGTTACCTGAGTTCCTAATGCCAATATTTCATTCAAATATGCTTCATCGACTTTCTCCATCGCTTCTTGGAAGTCATTCCGGAAGCCCTGGAAAATATTTACATTTAAGGAATCTTAACAACTAGTTCTGCCAATTTCCATTCATTTATTCAACCTTCTTATTGATTCCTTTCACGATTTCCAAAGGTAATTCCATAATCATCTATCTTGCTAATTATAAAACTGCAAGTGAATTTAGATTACAAGATAAACAAATGTTATATTGATGTTCTAACTAGAAAAGGAGAATTAAATCTCTAGACGCAGCAATAAGCATGTACTATGCTCTAAAGCTGATTCAGTTAAGTTGTATAGTTTTTTTTTTTTTTATCATATTTTTCTCTCTGTCAACCCCGTTTCTATAATCTGACAAAGCGTGTTGTGGATAATAATATGTACTTTTATGTTATTAAACTACCTTGCATTTTGCGTTGTATAGATTGAGTAATAAAATACCTATTCTGTGAGCTATTAAAAAAACAATCCTAAATCGATTCATGTTCATCCAGAGAAGTAAGAGTATATTTATTTGATTAACGGTGAAATCTGTCTGCCTCACTTGGAGGAGGAGTCTCAAAAACACCTCTTAAGCCTAAAGAGCCTAAGAGTGTTAGGGATCCAAGCAGTTAAAAGAATGATTGTGATATATCCTGAGTATATTACAAAAACCTGTTAACACACCCTATTAACTTCTGGTTCTTGAATTTCAATTCTTCTTAGTCTCTTAAAGGACTGAATTTCAGTTTCAGCAAACAATAGTATTGGATGACCTCTTTCTCTCAATCTCTTTATAACTTCATTTCGAGGAAGTGCTGGAGTCTCTTTCTGTTCTGTTTCTCCATTCTCATGATTTTGATCTGCAAATCAATTTTTAAATGGGACATTTAATCTAAGGGAATATATTTAAATTACATAGACAAACTCTGCTCTTTTAATTGAATTTTGTGCAATTCAATAAGGCTACATAAGCATAAATCTGCTATATATATACCCAATGATCAAGTCTGTGATTTCAAAAGCATTTATCTTCTTATTTCTCAACATTTGTTCTTGACACATTTATGGAAAGGATATCCATAAGTTATATTTCACATAAATTTTCACAAAAACAATACGGGTATCACGAACTAACCTGTTTCTACCTTTTCAAGTTGTTCTTCTTCAGGCTCCTGTACTTTGGGTCCATATTTCCGTAAATATTCTTCTTGTTCTTTCGCTAAGAGCTCACCTCTCTTGAAGTATTTTTTCTTGTTTGATGGATCCTGTTATGGAAGGGGAAGTAAGTATTCCTTTTTTAACTTTAATGTGAATTTGTCAACTATTCATTAAATACTCACAATAATTTTCTTTTCTTCAAGTAATTTACGTTTTTTTGCAATTTCTGCCTTTAAAATATCCATTATTGATTGTGGTACATAGTACGTCTAAAGCAATCCGTTGAATTAAAATGAAAAATTTACAGTTTCTGAAAAATACTGCAGTTTTGGATAAAACATTTATTTTAAACTTTATTTTATGTTTACAAAACAAGTAAACCAGGAATTTGGCAACAATATTTCAGGTTAAGCTTTTGTTTTCCATTTGAAAAGGTAAAAGAGATGTATTCCATAAAGCCAAATTTGTTACTATTTAAACTTTATATTTCTTAAAGTATTTTCAGTGAAATATGTACCTATCCAAAAATCCATTATTTAAAATGACATGGACCTGGATAACTTTTATACCGCGTTTTGATTTCATTTGATTGATCTAATAATTATGTATGATTGCTTTCTTAGCGGGAACGCGAATAACAAAGTCGTTTAATCGTCTAATCTTATAATAATGGTGGCATATTAACCGTTTAGTATCTGAAAATATACATACATCCTAGGGTAAAATGAAACAAAATTGCTGGAGGTGATTCTCGGGCTCTTCCAAAATGTTTATTGAAGTTTTAAAAATTCCGACGAGTTTAGTGAGATTTTATTTAATCTCATAATAGTTTCTTTGCATTTGATTCCATTAAATTAAATACGATTACTTCCTCTGCATTTCATAATACCGTCAGACAATATTATGGTTTTTTTTTTCTTTGTGAATCTCTATTGAAACATTGAACCTTTTTTAAAAAACTGACTGATGCTTATAAAACCGAGGTCGCCTGAAGAACGGACGAGTTTCTGTGGCATGTATTTAATACACCCAAATAAACTTTTTACATAAACGTATTCGAAACTATTAGCCTATACTCGGCCAGTGGGTATCTAAATATAGCTTAAGTATTGCTCTTTTTGTTTGAGATTTCGAGTCGCTTCGAAATGCTACCGAAAACCAGTAGGTAAGTTACTGTTGTCACAATAGGTTTTATAATTTGAGGAGTCCGAACGATAGCCCATCTTCATGAGTAGTTTTCCACCACGACAGAATTCAATCAATTGCTACATACCCCTTGGAACTGGGATATCGATTATTCATTAATTTTAAATACTAAATTGAATGAGACACTGATTTTGTTCGCGGTACTACAATAAAAATAAATTAATAATGTTTAATTACCTTTTTATCAGATTGTGAAAGGATTTTTTGATAAGCTTATTTTGATTTATATAGAGATTAGCAGGCACTTTATCAAAACATTTGCAAACGTGTTAGGTTGTAAAACTTTTGTTGACACAAAGGTTCTGTATTTCATTAGGAATAAACATGAAGCCAGATTAAAGGTGTACGATGTTTTTTTTAAGATATCATTTTGTTACTGCTATTATTCTTTCTTGTACGGCGAAATGTGGTGAGTACCTATGATCAATTTATTTTACATTCTTTATATTTAAAAAAGTGGTGAATAAATTTCCCAATGCTTTGTACCTTTCTCAATCGATTGTTTAGGTTAATGAATGTGACACATTTCATTCACTGTTAAGTTCCCAAGTCTCAACGTTGCATCATTTAGTACCTAATACTACAATACTACATACATACATACCTACATAGGTACATCCAAAATGTACATCAAATAAAGATATTACAATGAAATGTACCAAATAGATTTGTTAAGCTTTCAACAAATTCTAATTATATTGTAGTGTATACCTAATTGTGTTCTAACAATAATCGATACCAAGAATGTTCTAAACTACAATTCGATTAACGCAGGAGCATTCTTATCAAAGTTAAAACATCATTAGTCATTTTTAACTGGAACTATTCCCATAATTATACTTATATTCGAAATGCTGATAAAAATCCTGTTTAACATCGGAGTTTTTTTTAATATCTATTTCATGAATACTTAATCATAAGTAAATCATAAGTAAAGACACTAAGTTTTATCATTGGTATCAACCAATCATAAAACTTAGTGTCAATCATCCGTTTTTTAAAGAAGTAAGGAACCTTTCTTTTTATTTTTTATCTTATTTTTATTGCCCTTGTAGGCAGACGAGCATACGGCCCACCTGATGGTGAGTGGTTACCATCGCCCATGGACTTCAGCAATGCCATCTTAGTAGGCAAGCAGAATAGGTGCGAACACAAAGTCGATAACATTTATAAGACTGATGACTTTTTCAATAAACGTCATAATGTGGATACGGCTTGCCACTTAATGAAGTTGAAGTCTCATCATAGTCTCATCAACACACCTTAAGATCAGGTTGACTTACGAAAATGTCTGATAAATTTGGATTAGTCGTTTCAAAAGACTAATAAGTAAGCACGTTTTAAATTTAGTGATACGTAGGTACGTAATTTGTTTAATTGATTGTAAAATTGAGTTTGAATTACTTTATAGTATCATCGACCGATGTACATCGCATCGTTGGTGGTGATTATGCACCACCAAAGTTCGGCCTGTTTCATGCGTCGCTGCAAAATGTCTCGGGTCACCATGTCTGCGGTGGAGCTATAGTATCTAAATGGCATGTCGTAACTGCTGCTCATTGCGTGAAAGAGTAAGGTCAACTAGTTTTTGGAGGAAGAGGAAAGGTTTTTAATTTAATATTACGAAGCTATAACATTTTCTGGACAATAATATTACTTAAACGTTAAAACTTAAGGAGACCTCGAGAACTTAAGGTTTCGGCTTAAAATATTCTGGATATTATACTTAGATCATCTTTATGTTTACTAATCTTAAATAGTTTGATTTATTCGACGACTGCTTTAAGTTTACCAATAATATAAAATCGGTCATACCAGGCATATATCTGAACGTCTTAATATTCTGTTAATATTATAAAACGCCTACAAAGCCAACAATAATTTCTCAGAGCACAACCTCGCTACATTAAAATTGTTGCCGGAACAGCAGACTTGGATGCTGGCGGAAAAAGCTACGACACATTTGCAGTAAACGTTTTCCGACAATTCGAGTTCATTAAAAGAAGTAACGATGTTGCTCTTTTGACTATTAACGGAGAATTCGATTTACTAAAAGTTACAGTCTTGAAGCCGAGCAAGGCAATTTTGAAGGAAAACGATCCAGTTACTTTGATTGGTTTTGGCGCTAAAAAAGTTAGTATGAATACGAATACTATGAGATCTTGAAGACAGAATTTGATTAATCGATTTTCATTCGTCGTTTTCAAAACCTTTTAGCCAAACGGAGAATCAAGCCGAGTTTTACGATACCTAAATCTGTCTGTATTTAATCAACAAACATGTAGATATGCGATGAGATACACCAGAAATGTAACGGAAACCATGTTTTGTACTTTTAAACGTATAGGTCAAGGGACCTGTCACGTAAGTTTCTTAATTAAATTTTACCTACTTCACCTAAAACATTATATCCGTTTTGAATAAAAATGGGTACTGACTCTAATATCCCTTATGGTTTTATTCTAATATTGATTTGATTTTGATTGATGATTTTTGATTTATTTTTATTAAGCTTGTCTAATTATAGGGCGATTCAGGAAGTCCCATTACAAGAAATAATGAACTCGTCGGACTGGTGTCCTGGGGAATACCATGTGCTGTTGGGTTTCCCGACGTACACACCAGAATAGCCCCGTATATTGACTGGATCGAAACGGTTGTTCGAACTCACGCTTGCAAGTTAAAGTTGATAGCAAAAGCTAAAATTGCTTCAGAAAAACTCGGATTACTTAAGTAGCTACATCAAAGTTCTTAACTGTGAATGTCTTTTGTTTTCTTTTTGAAATAAATTTCTTTTTTCACTTCAATAAAGAATTAAAAAAGTTATTGTTTTAAAATTTTCATTTATTTTCTATAATTAATAACAATCACATTGTTTAAAAAATTGCGTTGTCGCTAGAGACATCGATAGCAGTTATCGTGGTACATACGGTACCTAAAGTAAGGTGTGTTTGAAGATTCAGATTATCATTTATTGTTTGTACGATACTCTTCTGAAGTCAAACATGAGAATATACATAATATAATCGATCTATTTATCTTTAACTATCAACGTCTTCGCATAATCAAATTCGTCGTATCAAATTCTTCAATTTATACTCCTTCAGCTTCGACAAATTTATCTACAATAATTAGGACATCATATTTGAAGGTTCAATCTACATAAAAGGACATTTGGTATAAAACTTCAGTACAAAGCGAAGCACAAGCTCAGGCCACAGCTCCAAGCAAATATCTACACACATGATAGATATTTGCTAGCCCTGGCAACTAAGACCTTTAGGTCAAGTCTTATTTTAATTTTAATGATAGGTAACTTTTTTATATGAAAATTATATTATGAAATGAAATGAAGTTGATTATTATAAAACATAGCATGAAATGAAATGAAAACGAAAAGAAATGAAATGAGATGAGATGATATGGGATGAAGTTTAATCTCAGTAAAATGGTGGTCATTTACTGAGACTTTTTCAGTGGACTTTTTGGAAGATACCGAGAAGTTACGTTCAGCGGCTTTGTTTCATTTTCCCACATTTGTGCACTTTTACAGATACTAAATAGTTAATAAACCACCGTTATTACACATTTAAACCTGAAGCAACACTAATTAGACAAAATAAAACAAATCACACAACTTCACTCCTCGCGTTCCCGCCAAAAAGTCAATAAAAGTACTCGTTAAAATTTTTACGACATTCAAATATGTTTAAAAAAGTTAGGTACTAATTCCAACCGGGATTCTAATATGTACAGGTATTTGAATAGTTAGAATTACTAAACTACTTGATCGAGGATGACACAGTCAAACTCTTACCAAATATACCAAACCTCTTTTCATAGAGTGAATTTAGAAGAGTCAATATTCAATTTCTTACCAAAGTGAATGTATACATATGTATAGTTCTATGTGAATTTTAATACCCAAATTAGTTTTTCGAAAACAAAATCACCTTGTACTCATTGTTATTTTTTACAACATCGATAAGAACAGCCATGACGGGTCTACCGTGAGCACACTGGAATGGCATTTTACATTCCGATAGAGCATTCAGCATGTCTTCACATTGTCCCATTGACAGCTTATCGCCGAACTTTATGGCGTATCTGCAGGCCTAAAAATGACTCATTATTGTCTTCAATTACAACAGATTTTTGCATAGAATCCAAAAAAATTAAAGATATCAACAACTTACCTCACTGAAAACTAAATCCATAATTGCTTTTGGGTATAAAGAAATGCAACCACTTTGTTGTTTAATGATGTTTATTTCTTCGGCTATAATTTTTTTTACAGCCTCTACGACTTTCTCCATCTAAGTTAGAAATAGTCTCATTTTAGAATCTCGTTACTTTTGATGTTTAGTCTCGGAACTTTTGATCATCTTCAATCAAACTTACCTGTCTAGGGATTTTTCCCAATATTGATTGTGGTACAGAACTAAGTATTATTTGGTCATTACCCAATATATTCCATTCTATACCCAACCGGGAGAGCTTATCTTTGTAATTGTGAAGATAAAGTATTTCGTCCTTATTTAATGTCAAATGAACGTCATCAATATTAACTTTTTTCCATTGCTGCTTTTGTAAATATTCTGTAAACGAAAGCCAAATTACATTATCTCACAAAAAAAGATAATTAAATTTGAAAGAAACAATTCGATTACGCATATACTATCATGAAAGTTAATATTGTATGTAAGCATGTATTGTAGGTATATACCTATAATATAATTGTTGATGAAGCACACAATGGCATTATCACATAGATTAGTAAAATTCTAAAAACCTATTATTTTATTCGTCTTCATTAAATTTAAAATTCTAAAGTAAGAATCACATGACACTTTCTCACCGATAAGAAAAATAAAACGTAAAAGAAAATTAAAAGGAAAAAACAACACTTGTACATATTTTAGTATAATTATTTAAAAACATTGTAAAATTATTTGATACCGGCATCTCGTTTTTACCATCGCAACGCCCGCCACCGGATTAGAGTTCATCCATACTGGAGCTACTGCGGTCATCCAGAGTGCGTTTCCAGAGGTCTTTTTTGCCTCCATACCATCCGGCTATGGAATGAGCTCCCCTCCACGGTGTTTCCCGAGCGCTATGACATGTCCTTCTTCAAACGAGGCTTGTGGAGAGTATTAAGCGGTAGGCAGCGGCTTGACTCTGCCCCTGGCATTGCTGAAGTCCATGGGCGACGGTAACCACTCACCATCAGGTGGGCCATATGCTCGTCTGCCTACAGGGGCAATAAAAAATATATTTATTTACATCTCTTCTTGAAATCATGTATGATTCATTGCTTTAGAGAATCATAATCCCGCATGTTTATTTCGAGTCACCGAGATTAATTTTTAATCCCTTAAGCAATAAAATATATAATGTACATCGCTACATTTTGTAACAAAGGCGTTCGTGGTCTAATTGTTCTAAAAGATAAGACACCTTGAGACGAGTCACCAAAATGGATTTAGTGACGTATACAGGGAGACGAACTAACGATCTACCCATTGCATAATTACAACATGGCCACACAGAATTATTTAAGCATAAGGCCATGGACACATTGGTATCACTATCGGTAGTTAGGTACACTACATAAGTAAACTAAAATTATTAACTCATTGTTTTTCATAGTTATTGCTGAATATCACTAATATCTTTCTTGATTGTTTATTACCAAAGCGTTGAAACTTTGATGGACGATATCGCGCATTTCGTCCAAGAATGACGTTTTGCCATCTCACCCAGCGGTACAGCTGACCGACGCTTCTCAGTCCACAGGAGTCAGCAATATCCATAAACACTATTATGTAAGTTTGTACTAGCGTTTACGATTGTAGAAAGACAACTTGCCTAGCCTTGCTAATTAGCTACACCTGTAATTAACTAACTACGCGTTTAAGAATTTAAGAATTGTTCCATAAGTACCTAAGCCATTACGAGCTTTTAACCTTTCGATACACAGTGGTCATATAATTAAGAATGATTTCAAGTTCTAGATTATTTTTCTCGAAATCATATCATGTGTAATTTTGTGTTTCTTTTTAGAAATAACTAGTCATGTTACAAATTAGCTACGCGAATAAAGAGATTAAGAAAAAAATCGCCAACTACCACCTTTTACGTTTTATTTATTCTCTATAGTAACAAATTTTAAGTAATGAGGCTGGATAATTAATCAAGGAACTAATACGCGGAGCACTTGAAGAAATTTGATTCGTGGTAAAACTTCAAAAACCATCATTTTTGATCATTGGAGATCGTCAGCTATCTTTTTAATTATTGTTACCTTCCTTAGAAATTTATCACATCTTTTACTTTTCCTCAATTACTTTCATATATATCAGTCTCCGTTAAAGCTTTCACAACACTAAATAGGGCCAAAATTACACAAATAATGTCCTACAGCCAAGTTGAATTTGAATTAAAAAATAAACTATTCAGGGTTCTTAATTATATTTGACCAGTCAGTAAGCAGTAATACTAGGCTCACATCAAATGTAAAAAGTTTATATTTCTAGTTAAAATTATTAAAATAACAACGATTGTACCACAACTGCGCAAAATGTTTGCAATATCGAGAAAAATATAGAAACAAATATATGCTATTAATTTATAGAAGTGAATTATATGGCCACCAATGTAGCTACCAAAATACCTGATAGGTTTTTCTCAAGTCTTATCCTTTCATCGACAGCATGTTGATCAAATAATACCAACGATTCAACCGCTTCCTTTTTGTTATAGTTTTTACCATTGACAATAGCAGCAATAAATTTATAGTCAACTTGACCTAAAACCTAAAAGACATCAAGGACGCAGTGCTTAATATTATGTAGTAGGCGAACGGTTATATTTTTTTTGAAAAAGGTCCCTTACTTTTGCGCTTTTTATGGATTGAGCGTCGAATTTAAGAGAAGTGTTTTCTTTGTCGATTTTTTTAGTTAATTTCTCAATACCCGTAGTAGCATTATTCCATAGTTCTTGTAATATTGGATCAAACATATTGGAATTCATCTGTACGTTATTATCAAAATCGTCATACAAATTCTAAAACAAGTAGTTTTGGTGTTATAGTTTTAATTTCACTTTAATTTTCAACCCCAAAATCTAAGCTTACATTTTCAAAGTAGTCCTCTTCGAAATTGTAACTACATACTCCTTTAGAATTGCAGTTTTCAAATATTTGTGACATACCTGAAATTAGTTCGTTATTTTAACGAAAATCGAATGTTTTTACTTGTTCAGTGATATTACATATGTTTGACAAATTAAAGCAATAGCTGACCTTTTGGTATAAATCGTAATCTGCTTTTCATACCAAAATGGATTTCAGTAGCAACGCATATGTCTTGGGCAACTGATTCGAGTTTGTTTATTTTATCTGATTTTGTATTATCAGCAGTTCGATTATCGAAATACGATGATCGTAATCTTGTGTTTGCATTATCGATCAAATTAATATTGATATTGGGACATTCAAGACTATCTGAATAATGAGAAACTATATCGATTTTTTTATTTTGTTTATTATTTACATCGCTTCTATCTATTATACTATTTTTATTATTCATTTCTGTTTTTGAAGAAGAGCTCAATGTTGTTATTTCCTTCTCAACTCCGCTCATTACTGTTTCACAAATATCCATAGGATCTATATTTATTAAATTATCTATGTTGGGGTTTTCCTGTGTATTTGGTAAAGTTAAGTCGTTGTATGAGAAATTATCACGATCAATACTAATCGACAGAGGTATGGTTTCATTTATAATCATATTTTCTTTTAAGTAATTTTCTCCGTCTGGATTCCGAAGCGAAATATTGTTACTATTATCGTTGGAAACAATGTAAGTTTTTTTTATATTTCCGAAGTGACCACTTTGAAAATTCGATTCTTGTAGAGACTGAGACGAAAGCATTTTATTTGCTATCGGATCTTCTAAATTAGATTTTAATTTAATGGAAGCGTTTTTGAAAGATGACGTGCCACCAATTGGAGTATCCTCTATGTTAAAATTAGATTTTTGTTTACTCTGATTTTGATTTCTTGTAGGTGATGACGATAACTCCAAGTTACTTTTTTTCGAGCAAGCATTTTGTTTTGGTACAAATTTTCCTAGATTTTCCAAAACTTCCATGTTCATAGCGTGACAATGACTTTGAAAAGTTAAATATGATGGTAGCAGTTGGGTATGTTCTGCGATTTCCGAAGCTTTTCTTTGAGTTTGTGTGATTTGATATTTATCATTTTGTATTTCGTGGCGTACACCTTGACTTTGTAGAATAGTGTTAATTAGATCATACGTACATAAGCATCTATCTCTGGTCTTTATATAATGGCTATCAATATTTTTTCGGTCTATTTTCGGAGGTAAAGGTAAATAATCATGTATAACAATTTCGTTGACCCTTTTGCGAACTGAAATCTGTTTATTTCCTTGAAAAGTATTGCTATTATAAACATTTTCCTTTATAAGTATTTGTTGTTTCTTTGGTTTTATGTGATTCAAAGCTTCTTGGGCTTTACGAGAAATAATATCACATCTTTTTTGGACGCTATCCGTTGGCTTAATAAATCTTTGTATAATCGAATCATTAATGGTATTTTGTTTGTTTTTCTTGGCTTTAATTTTTCTTTCGGCCTGAATATTCTTATGTTTTGCCTTAGTTTTATCATCAGGTGCTCGTTTTTTGACTCTTTGTGGTAAAATTATATGGTTATTATTATTTTCTGATCTACTCTTTCCGATAAGCCGATCGTTTTCAATACCACTGTTTCGTTTTAAATCAGTTACGATGCCTTTATTATAATTTTTATTTTCACAGAGCTCAACGTTTGGGTTTTTTTGTTCTATTTCTATTGGAATATCAAGTTTACTTATCTGGTTACCTACACTGCGTAAGCTTCGTCTTGAACGTTTACGATTGACCAGTTTACCTTCAAGACAGACAAACACCAAATTCGTGTATTGTTTTTTGAAAATTTATCTAGGCTCTAAATATTTCAATTTCAAAACAAATGCCTCACCTGTAATACCGTTTTGTAACTGTGAAACTCCCAATTTTCTGCTACTTAAAAACCTTTCCATAATAATTTTTACTTGATCTCGTATGTCAGCCTGTGGTTTCACATTCTTTTTATCGATTGGATTAACTGAAATTTCCTTGAGTTGGATATTACCAAAATAAAATTGTACCAATTTTTGTAGCAGTTTTTTAACAATTTCCCAGTTTTTAAATTCAAGATATGAACCTTTAGTGACGTAATCAGTAAGCGGACTTTGTATAAAAATAAGGTAAAAGGATATTTTATATTTTAAATTATATTCTTCATCACATCCTTTATACTGAAAAAAAAAAACATAGAAACCTACAATTAGGGCAATAATCATAGCAATTCAAGGATTCTTATAGTAAATTATTTAGTATTTGCTGTTTTAAATAGACACGCTATGTTAAAATTGTCCGAAAATTAATGGAAATAATGAAAAAGCATATTTTTCAATTGGAGAAGAAATTTTAAGGAACATATTCTCCATATGGATATAATAATCCGTACGTATATACGGCATCCACGTTATATTTATGCACGCACCAGGTTAAAGCCTGGATAGATAGGTTAGAGCATAGATATTAGGAATTCAACGAAGAGCTAGTACCTACTACACGTACGCAATTTTGGTACACAAAAGAAAGTCAGAGATAATATGATTAAGAAATGATTTGGAACTGAACAATACTAATAAAATATAAAAATAAATGCAATTTACGTTTAAATTCGACTTTACATCAATTTTCCTTTTGCGTTTTGTAGTCTTCAGATATTCTTTTAACAACTTATAGACCTTGTTGTTTCTGCTAACGAATTTATTGTTATGAAAAATCCATTGCAATTTAATACAAATTTCTTTTTTTCCAATAAATCCTGTAACTTTGTAGTGATTTTTCTCCACTATAAATTCTTGTAGATCGCATCTTTGTATATTAAAGAGAACATTTAGAGTTTTGTAAACATCTCTTGTCTTATGTACCTGAAATGCTATTTCATTTTTTTCTTCATCCCTCAAGCTTAATGAAATACTAGTATGCACTACAGATATTTGCTCTAAGAAAGTTTTAATTTCTTGAAATTCTCGTAAAGCGTTAAGAGACTTCTTTATTATGCATTTGTTATATAAAAATCCTTTAATTTGTATCTAGAACAAAACAGGGTATAGACAATTGAAAATACTGCGAATGCAACCTATTTACGAATGACTTGATGATGATGGAAAAAAATGTGTGTGGAAAAAAATCACCCTAATAGTATTGTAGGACTGGTAAGAACGGAACGTATGAAAAGAGGGTGGAACAGAGCACTAAGGTGTGAGTAACAGAAAACGGTAAGAAAGGGAAAAGGGAATGAAAGAAGATAAGCAAGATGGCGAGGACACAATTGAGCAAGCTGTCGTTTATTTTTAATTATAATAATAAAGAATATTTAGGAAGAAAACAATAAAACTGCAACAGTGGACAAGTTTTATTTTATGCCTCACTATCCCAATTCTATAGTATTAAATAAATATGACTTGAATTATAGTTTAAGTACTGCAAACGGGGAAGGAAGGTTTGCAACAAAAACAAATGTGTTTAATTTCGTTAGCCTCCTTAGTCCTTCAGCAGTCCGGTAAAATAACATTCTAATCGCAGAAAATGGAGCTTATGGTAATAACAAGTGCAGTTCACGTATTGGTAGGGCCTCTTTTGAGTATGCATACCACCATCCTACCTATTTCTGCAGTGAAGCAGTAATGCAGTTCGATTTGAAGGGTGGGGCAGACTTTGTACTCTAAAAATTGAGACTTAGAACTCATGTCTCAAGATGGGCGGCGGCATTTACGTTTTTGATGTCCATGTTGTGGCTTTGGTAACCAATTAAAATCAGGTAAGCCACGATCCTCTCCTACATGTTAATGGAAACAGCAATAAAAACATATTTTCTAAAATAGAGACTAGTCAAGATTGGTTCAGGGCAGCCCTACTCTAAAATATTAGTAAATTACTTACCGTAGTTCCTTTAGAAGGTCTTTTGATTCTCCCATACGGCTTTTTAACCTTATTCTTACAAAATTCTTTAACCCACGCCTCTTCGCCGCTTTCGTGTCTTGATGTTATTTTAATGTACTTCGAAACTTCAATAATATTCGCTAGGGATACACCCGCCAATCCGTATTTGTTAGAACCCGATTCCAAAGTGGTTTTGTCAACGTAATGGCTAGTGGCGTACATTTGTCCCAGTAAATCAAAGTCTAATTTATGTATACCGCGTCCGTTATCAATTACATGCAATGCACCATCATTAATGTGGACTCGGATGGCTATTGACGTCGATTGTGCGTCTAAAGCATTGTAAACCTGAAATTATTGTCAATTGCATACGCGTAGGCGCAAACAGTACTCATCGTTTGAGCATACAATACATATACATAGCATATCATACATACAAAGTACTGTTTATAATTGAAAACCATGTTTACCCAAATACAGTCTTCTGAACATGATATAGAGCAAGATTGAGGGACTGCAAGTTAATAGACTTTGCAGCAGGCACTTGGGAAAGAGTAAAAAATTAGTTAGGAGTAAAAAATTGTAATAATTAGTTAAATACTAATATGTTAGGTTTTAAGTTACTAAGATAGATTATAAGCAATGCTAACCAAATGGACAGGTTTTACTGAAATAAATATATGAAAAAAAATGCAATAGGTATATGCTATGCTAGTTATGTGCATCTAGATGTAAATTAAATCAAATAAATATATTTATACTTTCTCTGACGAATTCTGGCAGCTTGGTAAGTATTTGTTGCTTGTTAGGTAAGTTGGCTAAATTTTTAAATGGAAAGACGAGCCGTGAGCCTTTATGAACTTGTATCAACGTCACCTGTATTTCTGCTTTGGATCAAACACGCTCTGGATCCAATAACACAATGTTCATCTATGCTCATTTAAATTGGCCAAAAATATATTTTTACAATAAATTCTAAAAAGTTTACACCCAGACCCAAATGTCGATCTAACATATACTTTAATCTAAATTTATATTTTGGTTGTATTTAATGATGAATTTTATTGAAAACTTAAAAACTAAACTAACAAAACTAACTCAAAATTTAAATCTCTTTGGTAAAGATTGCTACATACATACCAATTCTTCGACGGCTCTCTTGAAAGTATTTATGTGTATTGACGCACACATTAAAGATTGAATTTCGTTCGGTAATTTTTTCAACGACATTTTATTATTAATGCTATTTTTCCACTTAATCTTAACGAAGAAATATTTACCTCCTAATCAACAAATCAAATCAAATTAAAGATAAACATGTTCTTGTTTACAAATTTTACAACATATATGTCAAATTTCACGTCAGAAGAGTATTTCGAATTTCGAACATTTACTATTCAACCAGCAAATGACCCATCGATAAAAAAAGAAGAACTCAAACAAGACTTACTAACATTAAAATGACAAGAAGTAAAGCGAAGTCCACAATACAAAATTTTATTCAATGATTGATGTCAGGATGTCACTCATGAATCGAAAGTGGGCTCTTACAATTATTGTAACGTATGGCAATCGATTTCTATTTAGCCCTGAACTTTTATGTATGGTATGAACGATTGTGTTCAAACCAACGCTTGAATAGTTACCCCAAGAGCCCCGTATGTCTAACAGTGTGTAACTGTCATTAGAAAATTCTAATTTCGAATTTTAAAAGTAATAAAAAATTAAATCAAGAATGTGCTTGGACTTCATTATTTTTAGTTAATTTCGGACAGAGATTTAAAAACAGTACTGGATTTCTTTGAAGAAGTATAAAGTTTTTATAATAGTATACAACTGAACATTTTAAAATAAACGATGTTGATGACCGAATTTACAAGAATGGGGGATTGCTTACAACATGAAATAATAATGTTTTGGGAGTATGTAAAACGGTAAGTTATTTTCATGAGATGCCTTTTTAACTTATTATTGAATATTTTGTAACTTATCAATAATGGGTGTCTTGTAGCCCGCGCGGATATGCACTACTGCCTATTTCTGCCGTGAAGCAGTAATGCATTTCGGCTTGAAGAGTGAGGCAGCTATTGTACTTTAAAAACTGAGACTTCTCTGAGAGAACTCCTGCCTCAAGAAGGGCGGCATCATTAACGTGGTTGATGTCTATGAGCTCCAGTGTCCACTTAACACCAGGTAATCCGTGAGTTCGTCCAACCAGCTAACCCACCTTGAGATATGAGCTCTAAGGTCTCAGTATAGAGTACAACGGCTGCTCCATCCTTCACACCGAAATGCATTACTCCTTCACACCAGAAATAGACAGGGTGGTGTTACCTACTCGTGCAGACCCACAAGACGTGCTAGCACCAGTAATAACGTATATTATAATTTTGCGGGTTTGATTTTTATTCATTCACCGTGGAAGTCAATCGTGAACATTTGTTAAATACGTATTTCATTAGAAAAATTGGTACCCGCCTGCGGGATTCGAACACCGTTGGATCGCTCGACACGAATGCACCGGACGTCTTATCCTTTAGGCCAAAACGACTTCATGCATGATGCATCTACACTACAGTTAATATTACGTATACGTAATATTAACTAAAACCAGTAATATTGTTGATCGAAGGACATTGCATGGCCTAGTCATGTCGCGAAGCATTTGGACCTACATCATTCTGATTTAAAGCGTAGGCGTAGCGTATAATAGTCTAACAAAAATACTATTGAGACTTCTATGGACGTTACACATCTCTCATCTAAGGACGGGCGGCAATATTCGTCTTTTTTATAAAGTTCGTTGCCGACTATAAAGCTCATGCACAGCTTGGCCGCGATCTGGTTTGACCGCTAATTATTTTTGAAAAAAAAAAAATGGTGTGGTTAATACAGGAGAGGATAAATTTTGAGTTGTAATACGGAACGCGAGGACGCGATTTCTACCTGAGCATAAACTATTGGTAGGCAGCGGCTTGGCTTTGCCATTGGCATTGCTGAAGTCCAAGAGCGACGGTAACCACTTACCATCAGGTGGGCTGTATGCTCGTCTGCCTGCTCAGGCAATAAAAAAATAACCCATCCCTAAAATATATGCACAAATATCTATCTCTATTTCACTTTTTTCTAATAATTAACATTGATGTATCTCAACGAAAAAAACTATTAAAACAACTGTTTGTTTATTCGGCTAAGTTTAATATACAAGTTGTATTGTAACGCGAAACACGATGATAGGCACCAAAAAAAATCACTTCACACAATTTTTAGAACGTGATTTAGTGTGTTAGGAATAAAAAAAAATTATATGCGAATCTAAAGTTCATATGTGCTGACGATTAACAGATTTCAGCAGGTTTCATTATTAATAGTATCGGATATGGTGCCTTTGAAGCCACTTGTTAGACTTCCGATGCAGTCAAATCTAAGCACATATACATTAGATAACAAGTTTTAATGATCCTCATAAAATATCTACACTAATATTATAAAGAGGAAAATTTTCTTTGTTTGTTTGTATTGAATATGTTCCGAAATTACTGAACCGATTTGAAAAATACTGTCACTGTTTGGAAGCTACACTATCCCCGAGTGACATAGGCTACTCCAATAACTACCAAGGCTACCCAAGGTGTAAAAAAAATACCTAAAATATTCTTTACATCCGGTGCGCTGCGAAAACTTTTGATGATAGAATAAAATAATGTACTATGACTTTGTAGAACACATTATTATTTACAAAAAGTGTCGCGACATCATAATAATCTGTCTAACTATTATAGTTATGCGACCATAAGTGTTTTTTTTTTGAATTACATGTTTTTGTCATAAAGATTTGTTTGTTTGTTTGTTTCGAATGGGCTCCGAAACTACTGGACCGATTTGAAAAATTCTTTTTCCATTAGAAGCCGACATTGTCCCTGACGAAGATAGGCTACTTTTTTTTTAAAAAAATTTTATTTTATTTTTTTGGTATCATGTGTATTTTAATGTTTCCGAAGCGAAGCGAGGGCGGGTCGCTAGTTATTAATAAAACCAAAGAAAAATAATCAATTTCAAACGTACATCGATGAATTCTTTATCATAATCATATCATTTCATATCATAAAAGCTGAAATTATGAAGAAACGTATATTTGTTTTGCGTTTTTCAATACCTTATTGTTTGTCGGAAGTATTGATTTTCGACCCGTCCTTCGACAGTTCACCTATTTATTCATAATGTTCATGTCTACTTATTTTATACGTACGTATGTATATCGGACCAGTTATTCACTCTTCGAAGCGGTCAGTAGGTCATTCGTTTCAAATTGTATATAAAATATGTATTAGAAATAATTAATGGATTTGGATTTGGATTAGCTACAACACAACGTAATATATTATTATTCTACTTTTTCCCTCTGAAGCTCAGAAAATTTTTACACTTTACGTACTGTTTGGCAAGTCGTAGACAAAATTAACACTAGTTTTATGGTTTTATTTCGAATTTTTAATTGTCACTGACGACTCCGCGTCTACCACCTTACCACAAAAACTGTAGGTAAAGCATTCAAAGCGTCGGAAATAAACGATAGTAAAAACACCAGCTAAAACAGGAAAAGTAGTATTAATTATTGAAATAGTATGTATTTTCTTCGGTTTTCGCGTATCGTTGACATAGTGAAATTATCGAAAAAATTTAAATAAAAATAGATAATTTTAGACTATACACTATACAGTAAAATAGTTTTAATTATAATATTAAGATAATTTAAACAATCTAACAGAACATTATGATGTAACATTGAAGAATACATTTTGAAATTTCGTCCGACATTCCAAAAGTTTTACAAATCCTTATCAATATTAGAAAATAATAGGAGTTTTTGCGAAGGAATACCTGTAGATAAGTGATTGAGTGAAGTCAACCCCCGACTTATCGCTAACAGAATTAGGTATAAATACTTTGAGTAAGAAATGAGGAACCATCAGTGCTTTGAATTACTCGTCAAGGGGAAGTCCAGATTCCAAAGTAAGTTAACATTTTTCAAATGGACACGCTTTGTTTAAAAACATATATAAATAATTTGTTGAAAAATATGTTGTATTTTGCTTGGTATAACATTAATTTAAGTAAAACATTTTATTTCAGATGTTTAAATCTATTATAATATTATCGGCACTGATAGTTTTCGCAATAGCAGCAGAACTGCCTATATCACATAGATCTTCAGAAAAACAAGTCTTTAAAACTGATCTGCGATCTAACGAAGGGTTTGAAGCTCAGGCTGTTTTCAAAGATGAGCTTAAAGATATTAGTCATCCAGTGTACAAAGCTGATGAAAGGATAGAAAAAAATGAAGGTAGAGTAAGGATTGAACCAGTGAGACCAACTGGACCCGTTATTCAGCAAGATAGAATGTTAGCTGATGAGCCTATGCCATCTACTGATGTCAATAGAAATGTAAGTACAACTACAAAACGTTTATTTCACAAATTCTACAATAATCCAGGGAATACTTAAAGTGTTTTTTAAATACTATTTTAGGATAATATTGGAATGCCTAATTATGGTTTTGAACCGATCCAGTCAGAAGTAACTTTCCCAGGTGTCCCTTATGCACCCGGCTATAATTATGACACAGGCTATTTATCTTCTAACAAGTAAGTGAACATTATTAAGCTATTTGTATTTTTGTTTGCATATTTAATGCTGCTTTTTTAATTTGTAACAGCAATTCAGTAATAGCAAGGAAATACTTTTTCTAATAGTATAACGAATTCAAAGGTCTTGTCCGTTTTCGAATTTTAATAGTTCTATAAAAAACTCAATAAATTCAGTAAATACTTTTTGGGTTAGTTTCAACTCAATTTAAAACTTTATATTGAATTTAAAATTTCATTTTATTTTATTTTATTTCTGATTTTTCTTTTTATTATTTATAAATCGCATAATTCGAACAAGACATAAAATAGTAATATGTTTTCTACACATACTGCTATTTTATTGTACAATATTCTCTATGCTATCATTCATACCGACTGGCCTGAGTTTATTACCCTCCTTTTTTCCTTAAATTTGTTGTTATATATATTGTTTGAATTAATTAGTCTTAAATCCATAGTAAAATTTTCAGACCCCCACGATAAAGGCGTTGCCTAGTGCGGTGATCGCAATGTGTGCTAAATTGAGTACCTCAATTATTCATAAACTTATGCAATACATGTTACCATGAATGTTTTGATGTTAAACGAATGCTTTTTTTTTTTAATAAATCCTTTTTTTTTAGTTATGATTTGTACCGCGACAACTACTTGATGGAGCCGGATACTTCTTCTTTAGGTTTAGTTTGGGGTCAACTTCCTAACGCTAGGGTAAGTTAATCTTCCATATTGCTTATTTTGACTCCATATCTTAAATTTAGTCATATATACTTTGTAAAAGTAATAGTAAAATAAGCCTTTGCGATGTAAAATATATCTAACAAGTCTTATTAAATAGCTAGCGACCCGCCCTCGCTTCGCTTCGGAAACTGTAATTTATTATTGATTTCTCCACTATTTAATGGATGTTATTATACATATAAACCTTCCTCTTCAATCACTCTATCTATTAAAAAAAACCGCATTAAAAACCGTTGCGTAGTTTTAAAGATTTAAGCATACACAGGGATATAGGGACAGAGAAAGCGACTTTGTTTTATACTATGTAGTGATTTGTACATTAATATTCTTTACAGACAATCGTGTATGCTCTGGGCAGAACCTTGAACTGGGTATTTAGCAGTATTTTTGTTTTATTGCTCGGTTCCATTCTAACTCTTGGAGTTTGTTCTTACACCAACCTCTGCACTTTAACGTTCCACGGCATCGGACCTATCCACGAAGAGATGAGATCTCTCATGACCCCGGAACGCTTGGAGAAAATTAGCACAGCAGCTGATTTCGTGAAGAATGCTATTGATAAATATCAAAAGATTCAGAAAGTCACTAACTTGAATAATGTTAGAAGTCGTCGTGCCATTTATAATTTATAATGCTTATGATGTCAAAATTATTCAATAAAAATACGGGTTTCAGTGGATACAGATACTTTTTTCTTTTTCCTAATGATTTCCTAACCTTTGATGATAATTTATTCATAATATTTCCAAATACATAATGTACCTAGTCAGGTCATAAATTCTGTCACATGTTTAATGTAAAATAATTGAAACAAGTTTATTCATTATGTAACCATTCATACACCAAAATGAACTTAACAAAACATAGATTCTTATGACACTAAAGTTTATTCAAAATGACCTCCGTGATTTTGAATACAGGCCTTCAATCTGCGCGGCCAGTCGTCTATCGCAGCACGAACGAGGTCCATGTCAATATCGGCGGCTGCCTTAATCAAGGATGTCTTGAGTGACTCCAAATTGGGATGAGGCTTTGAGCACGCCTTTTCCTCCAAGTGTTGCCATATCTTGTAATCTAACGGATTCAAATCTGGACTGGAGGAGGGCCAGTCTTCGTGCCGGATGAAGTCGATTTCACGCGCCGCCAGCCAGTCTTGTGTGCTCTTCGCTCTATGAGCTGGCGCCGAATCTTGTTGGAATACCCAGTGCCTGTTATTGAACATGGTATGAGAAACAGGTTCCACAAGGTTCGTCAGGACTGTATTTTGATACACAACTGCATTCGTTTTTACACCTTTCTCACAAAAATGTACCTCTGTTAAGCCCCAATAAGAAACTCCCAACCATACCATGAGCGAGGATGGAAAATGACCTCGTTGGACACGCGGAATACGGTTGCTCGCTTCTTCACTACTGTGTGCGTACACCTTATCATTTTGTTTGTTGTAGCTCTCTTCTACGGTAAAAATTTTTTCATCCGAAAAAAGAATTTCCCGATATTTTTTTCCCGCGTACCGCTTCAACAAAGCGCGGCATCTCTTCAGTCTCAGGTCCATTAGACGAGCATTCAAACGATGTCCTGTTTTTCTTCGATATGCCCGAAGCCCTAAGTCTTCATTTAACACCCTTTTCACCGTGGTTCTGCTTAACCCCATCTGAAGGGCCAACAGTTTCTGCTTACGTTTGGGATTTCTTTGAATTCGCGCCTTCACAGCTTTTATCACTGCTGGAGTCCTAACAGACCGAGGGCGACCACTTCTTGACCTGTCATCTACACTAGAGTCTTCATTGTATCGTTTGATGGTACGATAAACGAATCTTTTGGTTATATTCAAATTTTTCAGTATGTTAAAAATTTGAATTGGCGCGTAACCGCAACGATGCAACGCAATAACTGCAACACGGTCTTCTTTAAGCGTCCACTCCATATTTAAAAAAGAGTAAAATTCTAAAAGTATACATTTTTATTTTCATGAACAATTCGAAATTCGAATTCAATAAACTTTTTTGTGGCCAGCATTCTAAAAGAAAAGTTTTTACTGTGTGACAATACTTATGACCTGACTAGGTACTTTGCTACACATAATTTTTAAAATACCAATTAATAATGCTTTAGAAAGAATCAATTGATTTTAACTCACTCGCATATACGCAAAACATCTACTTTATTTAATCATCTTAATTTGTATTTCCACGTCCTGTTTAGAGCATAATGCTAATGCTGTTTATATTGTTCTAAATTACAATTACTTTTGTGAATACGAAATCGGTATTGGTATTCATTTGCAAATTTTTTTGTAACTTTTTTTATACTTTAAATTAATTAGCTCCTTTTTTGTTTTTCCTGTAGGCAGAGGAGCATATATATTATATATTATTATTTATAATGAAAACACAACAACTTGCACTACAACAAGTTTTTTTTTACTCTTGATCTGCGACCAAAAAGGACGACTCCCAGGGGATAGATCTTCAATCCCTTGCCAATTCTCGCAATTCGTGCTCTGACTTCGACCTGGCAATAACCTTCGTATAGAACTTGGAAGCGGCGTTAAGGTTCCGCTAAACGTAAAGTTTAGTTCCCTGGCTACGACAAGGTAGACCAATATAGGGGCGAGGTTTCGTCCCGATAAGCAGGTGCAAGCTATTGTATGGTTGCCTAAAAAAATGTACCCCTCAAATTCATTCATTCATACATAAATCATAAATTGTGGTGATACTCGATAAAATTGATGTTAACACTTTAGGGTAAATTCAAATTCAAATTCAAAATCATTTATTTCAACTTAGATGTCAGTATGACACACTTGTTGAATGTCAAAATACAAATAACAATGTTAACTCTACCACCGGTTCCAAAAAAAGCCACAGTCCTGAGAAGAACCGGCGAAACAAACTCAGCGGGCTTTTTTTTTTGTTTTTTCTCAAATATTTTCTTCTTTTTTTTTTAAATAAATAGAAATATTCACAATAAAAGAAAAAACAAGTCAAAAAATACAATTAAAAAAAAAATAATAATAATGAAAAATGAAAAGGCCAGGAGCGAGCGCCTCATTCCCACGTAGTGCCATCTAGTAAATAATCCTTAACTTTATAATATGCCTTGTTGCACAAACGTTCCTTAACAGTTTTCTTAAATCTATGAACAGGTAGTAGTTGAACGTTTAGTGGGATCTTGTTGAAAAGCTGTACACCCACCCAGCCCCCTAAANTACAATATTGAAATGCCCGGAGCGAGCAACTCATTCCCACTTTGTGCAATCTTCTAGATAATCATTGACTTTATAGTAAGCTTTATTGCACAGATGTTCTTTAATAGTTTTCTTAAACCTTGTATATGTAGGTTCTGAACATCTTGTGGGATTTTGTTGTACAGGCGCACAGACAAACACCCGAATGAATTTCGTATCTTATGTAACCTACTCATCGGCACAACAAGCTTGTGTTTGTTCCTAGTATTTCTATTATGTATGTCCGACTTTTTAGGAAACTCCTCAATATGTTTACGAACATACATCAAATTTTCAAAAATGTACTGGGAATACTGGGATGGCATAGTGAGAACTTTAATTTCTTTAAATTTCTCCCTCAGGGATTGCTTTCAAAAGCAAACATTTTTTACTATACGTTACGATCTCTTATAATATGACCAGTTAATGATATAGTATTAGAATTTAAGATTGGAGACAGCGCGAACGCAGTCTCCACTACCAAAAATTACGCGTCCGAGTTACCCACATTAGGGGTAATCACAGGGGTCAACCTTACCGGCAGTGCTATGGTATGGTCTCGCCCTGGGGGAACCGCCTACATGATCACGGTATCCCCTACGCCAGGTAAGTATGCTTTCAAACTGTACAGTTGAAGGATGTGATTAACGATGTGCGCATCTCGTCATCGCGATTCAGTTTTGTGCGAAAAACTGGGGAGCGACATCTTGTGACTCCCCACGGTTCTGCTAGTACAAGGGTTCATTTCTGTACAATGTTCGGATAATTGTTCACTCTCGCAAATTTTCACGGTACCATAGATGGTGCTCAAATAAATGCTTGTATAAATCAATATCGGTTTCGCCATTTTTTCATTTCAATGTGTTTATTGTTATAATATTTTATTATTTATGATCAATTATTTAACATAATTTAGCAGCTCAACAAGTATTACGATATTAAACAAGTATGTCTAATTTTATCTATCTGATGGTACTTATTGGTCGGTATTCTGCAGTCATTTAAATATCTCGAATATTTTAAATGGATTACAATTAACAATTTCTAAACGTTCATAATTTCCATAAATTTAGAACAGAAGGTTTTAAATAAATATTTTCTTTTATACTGAATTTGAATTTTTGTTTTTTTTTACCTGGTGTTTGAAGTGGTAACTGGAGCCCATAGACATCTAGAACGTAAATGCGCCACCCACCTTGAGATATAAGTTCTAAGGGTCTCAGTATAGTTACAACGGCTGTCCCCACCCTTCAAACCGAAACGCATTACTGCTTCACGGCAGAAAATAGGCAGGGTGTTGGTAACTATCCGCGCGGACTCACAAGTATTTTTTTTTTTTTTTTTTTAACTCTGGGGAATCCATTTACGATAGTCGATAGTCCCTACGAGGGCTGAGCGGCGGCCTCTCGCACGCGCCGTCCACCCCGCCTTCTGCGCTGAGGAGCCGAAGAGGGATCCCGTTCCCTTTCGCGCTCCTCAGCCTCACGAAGCGCTATGACCAAGTCACAGAACCCAGCCATGGCCTCCCACGAACTCCGGTCCTCTACCATACGGGCGACTATAGCCCGCAAAGAGAGGTCCTGCCCTAACACCGCGACGAGGTTTCGCCGCGGGTGCTCCCACCGTGGGCACGCTTCTAGCGCGTGCTGAGCGTCATCGTTCGGGTGCCCGCACTGGTGGCAGCCCGGATGTGGCTCCCTTCCGCAGACTCTCCACAGATACCTCCCGAAGCATCCATGCCCTGAAAGGACCTGGGTGAGGCGAAAGGAGAGCTCACCGTGTCGCCGGTCCGATCATGCCTCCAGCACAGGCACCAGTGCCTCGAGCGTGCGCTGACGAGTGGCCGAAGTTCGGCCGAGCTCCTCCAGCAAGCGCTCTCTCCATTTGGCATACGCCAGACCACGCGCAGCACGCCTCCATCGATCGACAACCGACGGGCCGGGTGTCCGTTCCCGAGTCGAGGACTGTGTTCTCCGTCGGTATGTCGTGGCCAAGATTTCGGCCTCGAGGTCCCACGGTAAGGATCCGGCGAGGGCACAGGCCACATCCTGAGAGATGGTGCGGTACCCCCTGATGACCCTCACCGCGAGCGCCCGCTGAGCTCTGAGCAGTAGAGCCGCGTTTCGCGCGGTAAGTGCGGGCGACCACACGGGAGCTCACAAGAGGTCCTACCACCAGTAATTACGCAAATTAGAATTTTGCGGGTTTGATTTTTATTACACGATGCTATTCCTTCACCGTGGAACTCAATCGTAAACATTTGTAAGGATTTCCCTCATTGAAGATACTACCTCATTATCTACGTTACTTCAGATATACAAGAAGCTATCACATCTCTTTGCGTTCTGTTTATACAGATTCTATGTATTCAATATCTTATATACCGTAAAGAATTAATCAAATTAAATAAAATGTCTGCATTTGTCGGTTCATAAATAGATTTTCAGTTCAACGTAAGCTGGATTC